AAACATTCCAAATCAACAAACATACTAAATGATGATGGCATTCATAATTGAAAAAAAAGAAAGCTCGTGCTACTGTTCACACCGGCGAAAAGTTACATTAAAAAGAATATCAGAAGACATCACGTAATTCACAATAATGAGCGTTAAATTTGGAAATGGAGCCTAACACCGATTTTCGGGTGAAAACTGTTTATCTGAAAATTTCGTGTCTGGACCGATTACAGTGCTCTTTCGCGTCACAGACGAAGCACATGCGATATCGGCTTGGGAAGGTTATTATAATTATCAAGGAAATTGGGGGGTAAAACCGTAATTTAGTTACTACGAAGCATATTTAGACTAATTAGGGGGGGCTTCACTCCTTAAAACTCTCACAGGAGAGAGAAAGAGAGAGAGGGAGAGGGAGAGAGGAAGACAGAGAGGAGAGGAGAGAGAAAGAGAGAGAGAAAGAGAGAGAGCTGCGCCCCTACCCCGACCTGATCTGTTTTATTGGGTTTTAATAGACTTGTTAGTGTCTACGTCATATTCTCTCAGTGCTACGAAACTATACTAATTATTAGATTAGGAAGAAAACGCAAGAAAAGAGGGAGGGAGGGAGAGGAGAGGAGAGGAGAGAAGGAAAGGAAGGAGAGGAGAGGAGAGAGAGGAGAGAGGAGAGGAGAGGAGAGGAGAGGAGAAGGAGAGAGAGGAGAAGGAAAGTAGAGAGAGAGAGAGAGAGACAGAGAGAGAGAGAGAGAGAGAGAGAGAGAGAGAAGAGAGAGAGAGAGAGAGAGAGAGAGAGAGAGAGAGAGAGAGAGAGAGAGAGAGAGCAGCTCTTCCGGAAATCGGCAAAGCATCATAGGTCCGGAAACGGCTCGTCCGGTCATTCGGTTTTTTCGTCCGATCGGGTCTGTCGGCGAGGTCGAAAAGGAGGATGCTGGCACGAATACACGGACGTTACTTTGGAAGATGCACTTGTAGATTTAGAACATCGATGTAGTAGACGTAGATGCGTTGTGATACAAGCTCGAGAGCGGACAGTCGGAGGTGAATAGGAGCGCGCCCGTTCGCTGAGCATGAACGGTATCCATGCCTATCCGTCTCAGCTGCTTAGTGAACTCTTGATCACCAAGTAGGTCGGTCTGCTGCGAGTCAATCAAGCACGGTCCGTAATCGAGGTCTTCAGCTGGAGACGCCAGTATCCGCAAAACGTGACTGGCCCATCTACTAAGCCGACGGACGACTGTTCAATATTAGTATTATCCTAATTTTAGAGGATGGCTCTACATGGAATTTCATCTCCAAGTGTAGCAAACTTTCGAGGCAACGGCCGTGATATTCCTTCAGTCTTCTGCTCAAGGTACTAGTCTGGCAGCCATAATGAAAAGCTGATATCAGAAAGCTGTGTAAAGTCGTTTGTACATTCAGATCTCTATGGAGAAAGGTATGACCTCACCGAAGATCGATAAAGAGGACATTTTGATACCAAGTTACCTGACTCCACGGATTTCGTATCTTCAATCCCTGTACTAGAGGAAGGAGCCGCCTCTTCTCCTTTAGCCTCGGCAAAGAGTAATTCAGCGCCTCTTCCTTGTCAGCACTGAGGTCTGCATCCCACCAGCAATTCCAGAAATAGTAAAGCTTTTATTTCTCTGGAGTACCTAATGAGTAAGCTGTATCACCTGCATGTTATGCGTCAACTGTATGCACAGTTCGCAGTTTAGCCTTACCCTTGATTTGCTAATTACTGAAAAACTGCTATTTTTTCCTCAAAGCATAACTTCTACTAATGTGGAATTCATAATGAACAGATTGCAACAGGAACAGCGAAAAGGCCTTCGGCATATTCGTGTGTTTTCTTGCCCTTCCCTTCGTTGCTCCTGTTGCAGCTTCTACTAAGTTACGTCGATGAGTATCTGGATAAGCAGGGAAATGCCCCCATAGTTAACACAAACTGCGGCCCTCCCTTTTCTTTTTGAAAAACATTATGATAACAATATACCAGTTACAGTTTCAGAGGATGCCTACTTTTTGTGATCGATACTTTAGGGGGAGGGGGTTGGCTTAGGCAGTTGATGTGGCTTCGGAGAGCTCAATATCCGCTGAGTTTGGTGGCGTTTGGAAATGTGGTTGGCCAATTTACTCCTGTTTCAATTGTCCCATGAGTGGATGGCTGTATAACAAGTTTATGAGTTGAGTGGATCATGTTACATTTACGATGGCAAAATCTCGCAGGTCAACTTTGCGATTAAACCGCCATTGTTGCATATAGAATGCATCTATGTCTTCAGTTCCGTTGGACGTTGTGCAATCGTATTGGTGATGCACATTTCGCGAGCTGCACAGATATTGATACGCGATTTATTTAGGCTCGTATTCCCTAATGCCATGGCGCCCAGAGTTGCCTTCCTAGAATTCCCGTAGCACCGAGGACTCCTAGAAATTTAAGTCTGTTATTGCAAAGGAATGATCTTAGGATTTTTTTTTTAGTTTGAGGTAATCTGTGCTTTATTTCTTTTCAGGGGAAGGAAGGCCAGGAACGTAGAAGCTTGTTTGTGTTAGTTTCTTTTCTGTCAAGCTTGGTTTCGAGAGCTAAGAAGCATTTAGAATTCTTGTTGCTTTTGCTTCTTGGTCTTAATGGCAATGCGAACGACATGTATCCTTAGGTCTGCTTTGGGGGAACAGCCCAAGAGGAGGAGGAGTCTTCTGGGAGATTTTGCCGACCATACTGACGCGGCTACTCTCACTGAGGTGAGCTCTGTCAGGGAGTTTGCCTCACGGAATGGCTGAGTCTTCCGAGTCTGTGCAGTATGAGTGCTCAGCCTCCTCTCAAAAATATATATTTATATATATATATATATATATATATATATATATGTATACACATACTGTTATATATGTATATATTTACACACACACAACACACACACACACACACACACACACACACACACACACATATATATATATATATATATATATATATATATATATACATATGTATATATACACATATACACATATATGTATGCACACACACACACACACAAATACAACATACATACACACACAACATACACATATACACACATAAATGTACATAAGTATATATGTATAGCCATGACTATACCTACAATAGTTCTTAAAAAATATATTTACACGCATGACCCGCACGCACATACCTCCGGCACCAAACCTAAACCTCACTGGCCTTAAAACCGACAAGACGCGATGTTTCGAGTTCAGTCTCGCGCCGTGAAGGAAACACAGGGCGCGCGGCTGTGTTGCGGGGACCGGATGCGCGTGAGATACCAACGGCCGTCGCGATTAGGTTGTGGCACACAGGAGGGAGAGACGCAGAATAATCGGCCGGACAGATGCGTATTGTGCTGCAAAGGCTTAGCTCTGTATCTATTTGCAGTGTGTACTTGTAGGTGTGCGTGAGAGGAGAGAGAGAGAGAGAGAGAGAGAGAGAAGAGAGAGAGAGAGTGTGTGTGTGTGTGTACATATATATATATATATATATATATATATATATATATATATATATATATATATATATATATATATTATATACTATATTCATATATATAAATATATATGTTATATGTATATATATATATAAATAATATATACATATATATATATATATATATATATATATATATATATATATATATATATATATATATATATATATATATATATATATATACACAGGCAGTCTGCTGAAGCCGACTGCCTGTTCCGATGCGCCAGAGAGGGGGGGGGGGGGGGCAGCAAAGGCCAGATAAAGATGGCGGAAATTAAAAGACGTAACATGAAAGGATCAGATGAAAGAAAAGATAATGAGTGAATTCACAACTAAACAAGTTGTGAATGAGTGGTGGGAGGAGACTAACGAGATAATTAGGAAATCAGGGAAGAATGAGAGTAAGGTGCAGGGACGTCATGACAAATTAGACATCTTTTGTTTAAATACAAAATGAAATGAACAGTTAACTTCAGCAGCTCATGACTAATGTCTTTTTTAATTTGACGCCTCGGGATAGACCTTGCTCGGGGCTCGAAATATGTTGTACGCATACATGTTCATAATGTTATATATATATATATATATATATATATATATATATATATATATATATTATATATATATATATATATGTGTGTGTGTGCATACCATGTACACACACACACACACACACACACACACACACACACACAGCACACACACACACACACACACACACATATATATATATATATATATATATATATATATATATATATATATATATATATATGTGTGTGTGTGTGTGTGTGTGTGTGTGTGTGTGTGTGTGTGTGTGTGTGTGTGTGTGTGTGTGTGTGTGTGTGTGTGTGTGTGTGTGTGGTGCATGCATGCATGTATGCATATATGCAGATAGAGAGAGAGAGAGTAGACGGGGGATTGATCAATATGTTTCCTTTATACATACATTCATTACATATGCTCTACAAAGCGACGTATACTTCATATATATTTGAAGAGTTATTTCCACTTTTATAGATTTGAAGAGTATAAATGAGCAGTGCAAAAATGGATGCAAAAGGTGCAATCAATTAATATCCCGCATCCATTCGCCTAGAAACAAGAAAATATATTTTTTTCCAGGTAATTATCTCTACCTGATGCTAATAGGTATTGCACCCGTATAATTCTCAAGATAATATTCATACTGTGACACGAAGCCCATAAAACAGTCTGGCGTAGGGGGAAAAAGCTCAAAAATGGTCCAGTCAACATGTTAGATTACCATAAACAAAATTATTTTCCTACAGTTTAATTTCCTTGTTTTTTTTTAGTCCGAGTCTCTCTGAATTTGCCGAATTTTCCGCCTCCGTCACCAGTCAAAAACTATAATGTAAGTTCTTAATATAATCTTTAAAATAAGTATCATCAGAGGGGTATATAAAAAACAATATTCGAAATTAAAAAGTAAGATGAAGTGGTAAAAAAGGTAGACATGAATTATTGAAGGTGTAAATACCGTGAGAAGAGAGTTTTCACTGATCAGCGAGTACGGTTTGTGTACATCATCAGTGGCTCGGCGGAGGAACCCCATCGGCTGCAGTCTGCTACCTTTTCGACCCTTGCTCCTCCTTCTCCTCTGTGAATCAAAGTCCAGGTGAGATTCGCCAGTCATAAGAGGGATTAGGGCACGAGGGGTATGCGATTATATTGATTGGCGGGCGGTTAGTTGCATATTTACAGGTGTCCTAGATTATCACTCGGTCCCAGCTGGTGAGGAAAGTGTCAAGTGGTGGGCACACACGCCGCTCCTCGGGGCCTCTCGGGCACTTTTGGGCACTCATGGGCACTTCTGGGGCACTGTAAGTTCCTGGGCGCAACGTTCGGGTTTTGGATGGGGAATCGTGGCATTGGTTTGAAGGAATAGTTGTTAGGATTCTCTCTTTCTGTTTTCTTGATCAAGGTTGAAGTTTTTTTTTTACTCTATTTTCTAAAATGTGTGTATTCCCTGGATGTTGCAATGCTCGAGGCTATTGCCGGCACCCTTTCCTTTTTCCTTTGTAAGTGGTAATTTGAGAGAGTCAATGCTTTGGTGGAACTAATGTGATGATGAACTGGTTATTGCCTGATTGTACTTTGGTTGTCCAGATATAATAGTCTTTGTCCACACAAAATATATATATATATCTATATATGTTTACAAAGTGACTGCAGCCCTCTGAGACCAAGGCCCAATTGCTCTAGGCAGCAATCTTGGGGGGATTCCTGGGAGTCCACAAGCATTGCCGTACGTGTCCAAAACCTTCATAACCAGGGGGCGTTGTCTCTAGACCCCCACCTAATTTCCATATTTCCGTATCGGCTAACTGGGATCTCCCTCCCCTGAACCCTCAACTGATCACCGTGAACTGTGCAGCATTTGTCTATTTTCTTAATTTCTGACATCATTCTTTGCCTACTTATATTATTTCATATATCAGTGAGTGTAACTTTTTCTTCTCCTTATAAAAGTGTCATATACCATTGTCTCCAACATTTTGAGGCTGCACCACTTTGTATGCTGCCAGTATTGTAGCTGCAGTAAGTTTTCTGCAAACTAGAGCTACTGTATCTGGACAGTAGATGCCAAGTGCAGTCTATTAATACAAAAGTCATAAGGTTTTTGTTCTATCTCGGTACAGCCAGAAGAAACCAAGGGAGCTGGAGAGGAGTTTTTCCTGTAATTAATTCCTGTAACTTGTGATGCAAGGTCATATCATAATAAGTTGAACCAACCAGTGGTGAGTCAAGCAACTACCACTTCCTCTAAAACTTTGGTGCTCTGGTTCCATATTAGGTTAAGAATTGCCACAAGCTTAATCTTAAGTTCTTGTTCCATAAGGCATTCTCTGCCCTAGTCTCAGAATTGCTTCTGACTGCTATCCTCCTGTACTAGGTACATTATAAGTATCCACATTTGGCTGGTTTGTTAACCCACTAACGACAGGTGTCCCACATATGAGATACCCGAAAAATAAACATTGCCAGGCATCCCGCCAGTGTGATGCTGTATCGGGGCTCGCGCTCCGACACAGTAGTGGGCCGCCGATTTTGTAACCGCCCGGAATGTTTTATTTTCGGCTTCAAAATATACCTGCGTTAATCGGTTAAGATTGTGTGAGGCCCGACCCAGTGAATATTTGCATATACAGACATCCATTTACACAGAAATATATGCATATCTATCAGTCAGATTTATATATTTATCTCCATCTATACAATAGATATACATGTTTAGACTGATAGATATGCATTTATTTCTGTGGATATGCATGTCCATGTAATGAATGCTCATTGGGTCAGCCTCACACAGTAACAAACTGGCCGATAGTCTGGAATGTATGAGCCTTCCTGCATAACCGGGGGGCATTGTCTCTGGACCCCCTCTTAATTTCCATATTTCCTTACTGCATAATTATGTTTAGCAAACTTCAGTGTTGGTCATAGACTATAGATTGTTACTGACTATGAAAAACAAGTGTGGGTTTTGTTGCCAAGAATGCCGCATGTTCATCTTGTGCTAATTTTCCAGATTGCATGTCTAAACTTAAGCCAAAAGGTGGATTATTCCTAACCCGAGTCTGTTTTCAGAGTTCCCCAAGACTAATTGAACCATAGCTATACTAGAGTGTGTGTATTGGAAGTTTATTTGGTGTTGTTTAGTGCTAGAAGGATTAGCATATAGGCTAGTGACAAATTTGTCAACCTGTTAAATTTACTAAATGTCTTGTCTCCTTTAGCAAGCATTCCAGATATCTGGTTGTATAAAAAGGGTAAAATATTACACATCCTTTAAAACCCAAAGTATTAAAAAAAAAAGTTTAAAAATTTAAACGAGATTACACATCCTTTAAAACCCAAAGTATTAAAAAAGAAAAGTATATTTACATGGTTTAAAAATGCTTGACTTTTTAAGAGAATATACTTTATATTCTATGTGATTCTTTACAGTATGAATGCACTTGCTAACTCTAAAGTCATTATATTTATTCAGCAATTGAAGTTGTGGTAGCTGGGTGTGCCCTTTGGGGACAAGGAGGGCATTGATGGGGGGCTCGGTATGTATGGCAAGATATAGCTGAAACTTGGGAACGCCAAATGGATTTAAAGCTGTGAACAGTGCATTCTGTAATCTTTTTCTTATTTTGTTGTGTTTCTGTTTATATCTGCAGATTATTTCTTGTACCTCAGCTGCAACTTTTAGTCCTCTACAAGAATACCATTTTCAATTTGCTCTACCTTAGTGTGTCCGTATCTTAAAGATTAATTGTATTTTGCAGTGCAGGGACTGACACTTTTCTTCTCTTGAATTTACCCAAAAGTGGGATGTATTCAGCATTTTACAATTTTCAGCAGTGTCAGAATGTATAGCATTTCTGTGAAACCTGTTAGAATGTTTTTAAATGTAGAAACAAATGCCCAGAAAACATAAATCATACCAGATAAAAGTTGGAATCTAAAATGATATATATGCCTTTAATTTCTTTGGGAATGATTAGAGTAGAATTTTTGAATTATTTCTATTTAATCGCTGTCAAAAAATCCCAAGGACACCTGACTTAGAACTTTGGGACACCTGGCACAGTAAGGAGGGCCACTAATATATGGTCCTTCAGTGCTATTTTTGCTTTTATCTATTTCTTAATAGTGAAATTCCTCTTTGGTGCTAATGACTTTTGTAAAAGGGAAGTGCTGTAAAGCACAATAGGCATTGCTATTTTATAGAAGTTTGATTGATAAAGAAGAAAGTGGTAACTAGATATGGATACTCTGTCCACATGCATGTCATTTTTGTTTTATTTAGCCAAATATTATGTTATATAAATAGAACATAAACTGCCAATTTTATCAGTTTGCTGAATTTTTAAAATTAATGTCTAATAAGTTACTTCCTTTATTTATAGTTCACATATTAGTCATTGATATATTCTGGTTGGAAACTAAATGAATGAGCATTGAAGAATTTGAAAACCATTCTTTCCTTTTCTATTGATACCTCTTTGCCTCTCTATATAGGTTTTCAGATTATTTGAACTAGAAATGATGTTGAGAAATACATAAGGTACTTATGAACACATACAAAGTATTCTGGCTACAGATATAAAATAAGAATGGAGCCACAGCTACAAGAGCAAGGCCAGAGCTGTGACTTTTTGGTTCAGATGGTAAAACTGATTAGGAGTCTGATTAGGAGTCTGGTCTGTCTCAAATGCCTTTGGGTCTGTTTTTCCCAATATCTTCATGTTTTAGAATGTTTCCTGTGAGTGTTACAAAAGTTAAAATCCCTTGGGGTTTCTTTCACAGTCTGGGTAGGATGAGAATGACTTTGCTTTAGTATGAATTTTGTTTTTTTCAGCTTGAAGTATGTCCTCTCTCTGAATATACTGAGGACATTAAAGAATCCATGTGTTAACCCACTAATGCCGGTATATTTTGAAGCCGAAAATAAAAGTAACACGGCAAATAAAGGAAAAGGATCTTGTAAAGTGCTGCTCGCAGCCTATGTCCACTTAGTGCTCCCAAGATTCAGCTCAATCTTGTTGTGCGTACCGAGGTGAAGACAATATTTCTTAGGAAGTGTTGGTGGTCAGAGGGTCCGTACTGGAAAATATTACCTAACATAGCTTATAACTTTCTTCTTTTTCACATATCTTAATAAAAGAAAAAAGTGAACTGTCTGTGGAGTATTCAAAGATTTGTCCATTGTTTCTCTCATGTTACTATTTCTTAAGCTGTGAAAATAAAATCTAGTACAATTGCCTGAACATTCTTTAATAATACCAGTTTTTATTTCCAGATTCTGGTGGTGAAAGTTTAGTGTCAACCATGACAAGCATGAGTTCTGCATTGCTTTGCTGACAGAAGATGCAGTAGAAGAGACTTTTGTGGGCATTTCCACAGGTGCTCTGCATCTTGGTCACAAACAGCAATCCCTTGACCTACTTCTATATGCGGATTGAATATCACTGGTTTTGTTGGACTGCAGCCATCCAAGTAAAATATTCCTGCGGAAGATACAATTCTAATTTTATTTCCTTTTTTTGTGTGAAAAATACAAAATGAATCCATAACCTACCGTGACTTTCGAGCCAAGTGGACGCAGGAAAATAAATTGTATAATTGAATATTAGTCATAAAAGGAACACCAGCCACGATGTTGCCCATAACAATTGATGTGGAGGAGACCAAGCTCCATGCGCCAGTAAGCAGGACGAAAGTGAAGGATCTCATTGGCAACTTGTTCAGACTAATCCTGTCGGACTCAGATGCTCGTAATCTCTTCTTTTTCCTCTTGCTGAACTTAACCTTTGCCTTTGTGGAGCTTGGCTATGGTATCTGGACCAACAGTCTAGGGCTCATTTCAGATGCCTTCCACATGTTCTTTGACTGTTCAGGACTCTTAGTCGGCCTGGCAGCAAAGGTGATCACCAAATGGAGAGCTACAGACAAGTTCACATATGGATATGTAAGAGCAGAGATTCTTGGTGGGTTTATGAATGGGCTCTTACTCCTGTTTGTGTCCTTCTTCATCCTGGCTGAGTCAGTCGAGCGGCTCATAGAACCACCTGAGGTTAAGCACGAGCGCCTCTTTGTGGTGTCTGTCCTTGGTCTTCTTGTAAACCTTGTTGGAATTTTTGCATTCCAGCATGGTGGCCATGGGCACAGTCATGGTGGTGGTGGCCATGGGCACAGTCATGGAGGGGGTGGACATGGGCACAGCCATGATCATGGACATGGGCATGGACATGGGCATGCACATAATGGTCATGCATCCCATGGACACTCTCATGGTGGTGGGGGAGGCGGCTCACAGATCATGCAGGGTGTCTACCTTCACATCTTGGCAGACACGCTAGGTTCTGTTGGGGTTATTGTTTCCACCATTCTTATGCATATGTTTGGCTGGATGATTGCTGATCCCATATGTTCCATGTTCATTGCCGTTCTAATCTTTATGAGTGTGCTAGGACTTTTACGGAACTCAATAGAGATTCTAATGCAGAGATCACCACGTGAGTTAGACGGGATGCTATCAGGCTGCTTCTATAAGATCAGTGCTCTGCCTGGTGTGTTCAGTGTGCAAGAGCCACACTTCTGGACCTTATGCACTGGACAGTACGTTGGAAATATAAAACTCGAAGTGTCTGCTGCTGCCGATCCAAGATATGTACTCCAGCAGTCAAGAGCAATCTTTAATGCAGTAGGTGTAACACAATTATATATTCAGTTAGACTACACCACTATGTAGCACTTTTAGATTGTTAATTGATATATAATTAATTGTTTGTGGTACAGTCTTTTGGAGTAAGGCCGTTAAAACATTTACTTAAGAAGACTGGGAATGTTTGTGGTCGCAAAGCTATTCTCATGATAACATTTACCTTGTACAGTACATAATAATCAAATATCATGGTCACTCATTTGTTTGAAATTTCAGTACATTTGTAAGTTGCTCCCTTATTGATTTCTTTGGTCATTGTGAAATTGATTCTTAGGGAAATAATCTCAAGAAATAACTGAAGAACCCAAGTTTAGAATTCATAAAGCCATACAATTGGGCATTAAATCTTTAGTCAAGACTGGCACTCTGGACAATAATTTTATCATTTTCAGACTTGGGTACTCCTTTTGATTGTAATGCAATGTATTTAGGCAGTATTTTTCTTATTTCTGTACCTTGGCATTGAATATCATCTGTACCTTTACTGTAAGGCTTCTAAAACATTTTTTACCACATCCACAATTTTTTTCCCCAAAATACATTAGAATCTCATTGCAAAAGGAATCTTCTAAAGCTGGAGTGGCCGCTCGCATTCTGATAAAAGAGGCTGGATCATAGTGGTGTAGTTTTCTTTTCGGGAGAAAATTGAGTTTAAAAGAGTACAGTTTTGTGTCAATTTGCATTGTTTGAAAAATCAGGGAGCACTTGTATGATGAAACTGCTTGAAAATATTTTATATTTATTTGTGTGAAGTATATTGAGTTTTAGGTGTATAAGTTCCATTGTTCTTGTTTTTTTTCTGTGCTCATCTCTCATTTTTTTCATTTCTTTTGGAAATAACAAGATATGTTTTATAAGAATTTAAACAAGGTGTCTACAAATTTATCATTCAGTTTGGATAAATGAGCACAAAAAATGTTGGTGTCCCGTCTTGGTGCATACATGTTGGAGTGGGGATTTATGAAGTTATTGAAGAAAATTTTGTGGTTGTGTATAATGGGAAGACCAAGAAATAAAGATGCATATAATAACATGGTGATGGGGGTTTATATAGTAGCATAATAGGAAATAAATGTCAAAACAAAGTGCCAAGCAACACAGAAAGAAGTGCTTTTGTGATAGTCCGTGTGTACTTATCTTGCAAATAAGACAGGTTGCAAAAATATATATCACTGTAGATCACAGCTGTATTCCAATATTCAGTGGCAAGTTTTTATTTTAAAGATTATCACATATAAAATAGCTTGTTAAATGAAGGTAACCACTTTGCGGATGTAGAGGCAACTTATGTAATAATAGATGATGCTGTTTTCAATAGATGATGTTTAAAAGACAGTGAGTTAGTATGGTTATTATATATATTTCATGCCTCAGGTGAATTTGCTAAAGAATGAACAGTGTGGTTCCAGTGTATTTGAGGAAAAAAAGAAGCAACTTATGGAAATGCAAGGATGTGATTTCTCAAGAAATTGCATTAAGGTGCTTCAAAGATTATTTAATTAACAGCTGAAGACCAAATTCTTTTAATAGTAATGCCAACGGACAAGTCCAATATTGTAAAAAGTTTGAGAAAAAATGGACAAAGGGAATTTATTTCAGGAAACGAGACATTTACGATGGTTCTCAAGTTGTGTATATTTATACTAAGGTTGACTACCAGTGCAAAGAAAGCTGTAACATTAACTATTGTACATAAGATCCTGGTGCAAGAAGATTATTTTTGTACAAGAACATCCTGATAAAATAAAAGCTTTATCAAAGGTAGAGAAGTTTATATGTACTTGCCGTTCTTGAATATTGTCTCTCTATGATTTATTATGATACATGGTTAAGGTTTAGTTCCTTCATGTGTCTATTTATTGTTTGTTGTGAATGTTAAAGAGTTGTCTTTGTGGTTTTTGATTTTGCTCATTGCCTGTTCTGTCCAAAATTTTGAATGGAAGGGATGGCTGTCTATGTGAGTGTGAATGTGTAATAAAGTTGATAGCTTTTTTTAAAGATATAATAAGCCTGCCAAAACCCCAGCTGCCCATTGACTTTTTCTTCGTCTTCTCCCCCCCCCCCCTTCCCCGTTCTTTCCACTTGTATTTCAGGGCAATGCAATGTGATATAGTGACACTGTAGACATGCGATCTCTGTAGGTTAAAACGAATAGGTTTGAGTGACGGAATGCTAAAGAATGCATAACATGAGCAAGAGCGAGTTGCGAAAAGTGTGAGAGAACCTCCCCCCCGCCTTTATTTAATATTCTTTGCATTTATAAATGTTGCATGTATTGTAATTTGATAATTGTTAAAACACTTTAAAATCTTATTTATTTTTTTTTCTACTTTATGAACTTTGTTTACTATATAAAGAGGTGTGTGTATGTCTTGAGGTAAATTTAGGAGCAGAGTTAACAGCCATTGATAAAAGTCTGGAAATTTTATTTTGTGGAAATGCCAGAATCCAGTGCTCGTACTCATCACCGTTTGGGCAAGGGTAGCAGTGCCTTGTTTACAGTTATGTGAACTTGCTATGCTAAAAAGGAATGTAAAATTGTTAATATGAAGTCTTTACTTTGCATGGTTAGCCTACATTTATTTTATGGCAAATACAGGGGAAAACTTTTCTATTTTTGTATTCCATTTTAGTAAATGACAGAATTGCAGGCAAGAGAAATGTAGCATGGGATTTGGGAGGGAATAGGATTTTTATTGTCTGCAATTGAAACTGTGATAAATTCCTTCCAAAGTAATTGGCATCCAGACTTTGATTATTGGGGTACTATGAATGATAAATGTATTTTATGTATATACTATATATATAGATATCAAAGAATATAGACAGACACAAACTGAACTTTCGTATTCATCCTCCTGTGCTACAGAAGGTGACAGGAAACCATCAAGAAATATTATAAAGCCTTCTATCCTGTAGTGAGGTGTACACATTGAAAGGAAGAACTGTTTAAAAGTTACGCTCCACCAGATGTCTTCCGCAATCAAGTTTGGTTCAGTGAGGTTATCTGCTTTTGTGTAAAAAGTAAAAGTGGATTTTATTTGTGAGGATGTGACTATTGATTTCAAGTTTTCTGTTTGTATTTAGATATTTTTAGAGAATCTGCTGTTGATTTTTATTGTGTATTTTGTTACATTCCTTTTGTATAGGTGATGGACCAGAAAGTATATTAAAGATACAATATTTTGCTCTATGTTTCCATATCCATATATTCATAAATTAGAGCAAATGATGAACTTTGAATTGATTGCTATTGTTGAAACATTTCTCTTTTAAGTTATCAACCCCAAAGAACTGCAAGTCCTCCAGTTTGCCTGTCCCCCCCAGCAGCAAAAATGACATGATTTTTAGTTTCACCAAGGCATACTTAGTAGTTTAAATACAGTGCAAGCTTGAAAAACCAATACAGTTACTTATATTAAACAACAGAATACATAGATTTATTTCTATAGATGGGAAAAAGAAAAAAGAAATCCAGGTAACTGATACATTATAGTATGATGTAGGTGAAGAGGGAAAACAAGATCTATGTTTGGCTGGATGAAATGTATCATACAGTACCAGCAATGCTATTCCACACTCACCAAGTTATATCCACAATCAAACTGGAGGGGGGGGGGTGGCTCATGCAGAGAAGGGCCTACAGGGGAGGATAGCATATAGGGGTGATGTCGCGGGTGTGGCTGAATGTTTGTGGGTAATTGCCAAAAGTACCAGATGCATTACTTGACACTCTTATGTCATTCAAAATGCAAAAATTGTGGGAAATCCAACCAGCTTTTGTTAATAGGGCTGTATACACAATGTGCAAATAAGCAATGTACCCCGACAATCCCTTGCTCGTTGTCGTCGTAGGGGAGTTTAAGACAGGCCCAATGTAATGGATCACCCCTGCCTTGGACCTCATCCCTTGCCTTGACTAATTTTGCATGTTTTTTTTTTCTCCACTTTTCCTTTTTCTCCTCTTCATCCCCTACTTCTGTCCTTAAGTGTGAGAGCTGTGCTGAAAGAATGGAAGACTGGCTTTGTCAGTCCTGTACTACCTTGATACTCTGTTTGCTATTTCCTTTTTACTCTTTTTGCCACTGTACTAACCATAGTACTAATATGACTTTTGATGTCAACCATTAATAAGCAATAGGATAAATAAGACAAGGGGAGAAAAAAAGTAAAGAAAAGAAAAAATATCCACTGACATTGATTTAAGTTCCAGCACCAGTAGTGTATGGAAATAGGAGAAGGGATGATTAGTTCCTGGTTGTGAAAGGTAGATAAAATAGATATAGCCATTAAACATTTTGCACATATTAAAGGCAAAAGACAAAGCATACATGCCTTTTCAGAAAATCACATGATTTAGCAAACATTTTCCAGCAACAAAACCTAAAAGTTAAAGAAAAAAGTGGTCATTTGTCTTTTCCATGTCAACAGAATTTACAGACATGATATACAAATGTAATTGGGTATAACATTAATTGAGGTAGTATATATGTAAAGCAAAATCAAATTAATATACCATACAAGTACACTTCAAATATTACCCTTTAAGAGAAGGACATATTCTGATTACCAGTATTCAATACTTCAACACTTCTATTACAAATATTCACCTTGAAATCTGAACAGTAACAGGCTAAAATTTTACCATATTAAATCTGTCCTTGACAGGCACACGTTTTATAATACCACAGATATATGTATTACCTTAATTATAAACGTGTTCTAAACTATCTAGATGAACTGGCAAGATTTAATATCTATTTCAATATTTGGGAGGCATTAGGCATTCATCAGGGCATCTTCAGTAGCAAGAACATTGTTACTCCTTAAAATCACTTTTTACCTTCCCCAATTCCATGCAATCCACATTTCCAAACAACTTGAAGCATTTATTAGAGCTATGTTTAAGAAAAGGTTGAATAAATCTACATATTTCTTCAGTTACACATATATGGATTGCATTAGTTTATGTGAAGGACTCATACTGAATAAGTTGTAAACAAAGCAACCAATAGAAAGAGTAAAATGTGAATATGCCAAAGGTCTTTCACATATGCATGTGTATGTATATATATATGTATATGTGCTCATGTCTAGTTACAGGAGGAAAAAGGGACTTGGAGGGTTTCAGAGTAGCTTCTGCCATTTCCTTGGCTGCTTCGTCTTGTTCTAACATGGCTGATATTAGATGTTGCTTAGATGTTGGAGATCCTATTATGATGAGGGAATTTTTTTCAAGGTTTGACTAATTATTGGGTTTTCGATAATGATAGTAGTAGTAGTAGTAGCAGTAATAGTAATAGTTATAGTAATAATAATAGTAATAATAATAATAATAATTAATAATTAATAACAATAACAATGACAATGATAATAATAATAACAATAACAATAATAATAATAATAATAATAACAATAATAATAGACACTTACTCCCCCACAAATTATTTGCTACTTATTTACTGGTATGTTTACACTAATCTCCATTTTACACCATGCAGTAAATAATGAGTTGTAATAAGAGCTGTAACCTGGTTTTCACAAAGATGTAATGGAACTTAATTGGTGTACAGTCAACCAACAAACTGAAGCAAACCAACTGGTGGTAACAGCATCTATATGGATCATGTACTGCAAAATATATATAATTTTAAAATATGTTTATTCTTAAAAATAACTACATCAGAAGCAAGGGTCTGCAGTACCCGTGCATACAATGAAACCATATTTTAATTGAATTCATCACAAATGTCAATCAATATTTGTTTTGCTCATACTTCTCTATAGCATATAAAAACATGGTCAGCTAAAAAAAAATATACTCCTCTATTTATAATATATACATCTACATCTAAATATGTGAACAATATCAACCTAACATGGAAGCTTTAACAGGGCTTATAAAAATAATGAAGTTGTATACACACACATGCTATTACACATATTTATTTATTTATTTATTTATAATTAATCAATTTATTAATTTGTGTGTGTGTGTGTGTGTGTGTGTGTGTGTGTGTGTGTGTGTGTGTGTGTGTGTGTGTGTGTTGTGTGTGTGTGTGTGTGTGTGTAGTGTGCGTGCATGCATATCCGTGCAAGTGTGTATGCATACATATGCGAATGTTGATATTAATTTTTTTTTTTTTAAGTACATGAATACTTTTAGTGCACAGAACAGCATCATTCTGAAATTTAATAAAGAGTGAAAAGCAATGTAAAGAAAAATGTTTATGCAGAACTAAGGCATGACATAAGACACTGTGAATACATTAACAACATAGTTTCACATCATTATAAAATTAGTATCTAAAATATACTGAAGACATTTACTTTTGGAAGGCACTAAACTACAGAAAAATATTCAATCACACCTCTGTACATTTAAAACAATAAGAACAGAATCATTTGAAAAGTTCTTCAAACGCACTTGCTGTAAAAGCATATTCTTTAAAATAATCATTGTAGTCCTACAAAAGCACATATACAATCTAAACTTGGAAGAAAGAGAAAAAAAAACAAAAAACTAAAATATATATATATATATATATATATATATATATATATATATATATATATATATATATATACATATATACACATACATACTCTTAAAGCATAAATTCCTAACTAACAATTCACCAACAACTGTAGGAATTTTGCCTCATAAAAGTAAATTCTCATACATTCTACAATCTAGTTCCACTATTTATCAAATTGGTTGCATAAATACCTAATTCACATACGCATAAGTTATTTTTAAATCTTATCACATAATCATATTAATATAAAATTATCTTTTATTTCCCATACACTGATATAGATAGTTTTAGGAATGTAATTTCTCAATTTACTAAAAAGTATAAAACAATTCCTCTTCAATGGTTAAAAGATTAGAAATAAAATTTAGTTTCAGATATCAACTCTCATACATGCACACATTTGTTAAAAAATACAGACAGAGGAAGAAATGGGAGAAAGACCACAGCAATCCTGGACTAAAATTCAAAATTCCTTTCCTTCCTCCTAACTCACTTGCTCCTTCTTCCATCCTCCCTTGCCGTCAAGAGTGAGTAAATAATTATGATACTTAATGAGGGACTCTCGATGTGCAACGCTAATAATCGTGATGTTCTGGTCCAGGCAGGCTTGATATAACTGTTCTTCGACATCGAGGCTCAGAGCACTTGTGGCCTCGTCTAGCAAAGCGAACTGTGGCTTGTGGTAAAGAATGCGAAGGAAACACACACGCTGCATCTCTCCTGGTGATAAGGCATCATTCCTGGAAGAAGCAAAGCTCGATGATGTTTATTTTATTTTTATTTTTTAGTTCACTGTCAATTACTCTTTCCAAAACTATGGACTTTATTAGTGGCTTTTATCAACTCTGTAGTAGCTACTCTGTAGTAGCTAAACGCTATCAGCAATGAATGTTAAATCTATGTAGTATCAAAAAACTGATTTTTACAAGAAGAAAAATCTGAAATGTATGAGAGAATTGGGAGGAACAAAGTGCAATAGAAGACCAAGATACATGTATTTAAAACTCAAAGTCCTCTTTATGGAAATCAAGAACCCGTGTCAAAAGAGAGAGGGAGAGGAGAGAAGAGGGAGGGGGAGGGGAGAGAGAGAGAGAGAGAGAAGAGAGAGAGAGAGAGAGAGAGAGAGAGAGAGAGAGAGAGAGAGAGGAGAGAGAGAGAGAGAGAGTGAGAGAGAGGAGTGTGAGTGTGAGTGTGAGTGTGAGAGAAGTGAGAGGTGAGAGTGAGAGTGAGAGAGTGAGAGAGAGAGAGAGAGAGAGAGAGAAGAGAGAGAGAGAGAGAGAGAGAGAGAGAGAGAGAGAGAGAGAGAGAGAGAGAGAGAGAGAGAGAGAGAGAGAGAGAGAGAGAGAGAGCCATAAAAAAGAAGTAAACCATATACTTACCAATTCCAGTCTGGATCTGTTTGGAGACCTCCACACCTAGCAACCAACTCACTCATATGAAGCGCATCTAAACGACTCTTGATCTCCTCGCATGTCTCTGAGCTAACGGGACTATTGGGGTCCAGTCGCAGTGGATAGATGATCTGGAATATGTGTATTATATTAGTGATTTACAACTGGTAAAAATATTTATCTTTCCTGCTTCTATTTTCTCATATCTGATTGTGTGTGTGTGTGTGTGTGTGTGTGTGTGTGTGTGTGTGAGAGAGAGAGAGAGAGAGAGAGAAAATGTCAAGTTCAACATACACAGGTAAAGGCAACACAAAGAGTATCAATATGAATATAAAAACAATTGTCAGTTAACCCAAGGACCAAATATTTATGCAATGTCCCCTGTAGGTTTTTGTGAATTTTGTTACATATAGATGGTACATCTTGGACAAAAGTTCTCAGAAAAGTTTTGTGTGTTTTGTTTACTGCCCACAGATGGCGCTGTAATCGTTGTGTAGTAAACGGGCGGTTTCCTGAATGGAGGAGGGAGGGAGGCCAGAATTGGGTTGTAGGGATTCATTACATTGCTTGAAAACATTTGTTTGAATCAACAAGATATATAGATATGTGATAACTACACAGCGATTGCAGCGCCATCTCTGGGCAATAAACAAAACACGCAAAACCTTTCCAAGGACTTTAGTCCCAGACTGTACCACATGCTCTCAGCCCCCAAAGAGTCTAACAGTTGACCCTAGTGATCATGCCTGATTTCCCCATTCCTTGGTCTTTCTAACATTATTAATAAATATTTAGTTGTTTTTCTTATTGATATTAAAATTATTAAATTGTTATCAAAATATCAATACCAAAGAAGTTTTCCAAAGATCGAGGAAAAGAGTGAACAGGTGAAACAGGTAGGACTAATAACTAACTCCTTGGTGACTAAGCACTTGCAGAGCCACTTATGAGGAAAGTCAATAAATGAACTGTTGAAATGGCATGTATTCTTGTGTCCGAGCCAATCAAGATAACAAATTAACATGTGAATCAGTTATGCGAGTCTCCTCAAAGGAGATGCTGAGCTATATTCTCAAGTGAAAACCAAGAAACTGTAATTCACTACAAAACTTTTGGTAGGTGTTGAAGGGGACAAGTATTACATCTGAGCTTTATCAAAACAAAAGAATTTAAATCATGAAAACATTTGCAATAATTGTGAAATTTTACAAATAAATACTTTTTAATTTCTTTTATTACATATATCTCTTTCAACCATATATCTATATGAACACTCTAAAGAAAGTCCTGAATGAGATTGGTCTCCTGTACATATCCCATATATAAAACTCATAAATGTTGCCAAATATATGCCAAACATTCATACCTGTTCCAATAAAGATCCATTAGTCATAAGAGGTTTCTGTGGAAGGAAAATCACAGACTTAGGTCCTGGTGGGAAGTCGTGAGCCACGGTACCTCGGGCAGCCGGCCACAATCCACGTAATACCCTCAGGATGCTCGACTTTCCAGCAGAACTTGGTCCCATGATCAGAAGACTTTCACCTTTCTTGATGACCAGCTGCAAATCTGGTGGGTTTTGTTTATTAGTATTTGTATCCAGTAGCATAACCATATGACATATTGGTTTGAAAGAGAATACCAATTCATATGAATTTTAAGATATCTCAGCACATATTCAGTACACTACAGTATAACAAAAACAATAACTTTTATCTACCAAACATGTTATTATATGATTTGTACAAATTTTTACCTGAAACCAATACTGTATTTGATCCTGGGGCTGAAATGGTGACATCTCTGAGAATGAAAGCAATATCTAACGATGTCTGATCTTCCCCACAAACTGCGACTTCATTTTCAGGAGAGTCCTCTATAAGGCGCCTGCAACATTATGCTTTTTAATCATGGAGCAACATCATTACAAGTGTCATTAGTAAATATTTTTTCAATGATTTTAAATTTCTAATGGCTTGAAAACATTCATCCAATACTCAAAGATAGCAGAAAAATCAATCACTCAGACATTTACTGGAAGACAAGACAACAGTTATGAAAATTGTCTGATTTTCTTCTTCAGCTACAACTATGCTGTCTTATCTTTTAAGAAACACCTGTTAAGAATTGTCTTTTTTCTGCTATTCTCTTAACATGGTAGAGTGCTCAGCTATTTATCCTCCTTTTAAAACTCTTTAAAACAAAATGAAAAACAAGATGTTATGGCTCTTTTTATCATGCAAAACAGATTTTGGTTTTAGCCAAAAACTCTTAACATGGTAGAGTGCTCAGCTATTTATCCTCCTTTTAAAACTCTTTAAAACAAAATGAAAAACAAGAGGTTCTGTCAATTCATACTATTTCATATAATGGCATTAGCTCTTTTTTCCAACTATTCAGCTCTTCATAAAGCAAACACTGAACGCCGCAGATAAATTCAAATATCAAATATGCGCAGATATATTGTTACCAAAAGGATGACATAATGACGTGACCATCTCTCCCCCTTACCTTGAGTCACTGGATGACGCACTGCTATCTCTTGACCCAGATCGCTTTCGGAGATTCTGTGTTATGTTTGTAAAGGAAGAGGAGGCCTGGAGACAAGAAAAGAATTACAAGTGAAGAAAATATGTAAAAACTAATATGAAATGTAAATGTAATGCTGAAAATGACATTATTGTGATTCTCACAATATTACAATTCTCATGAATCCAAGTGATTTTTATTATAGATATAACAAGAATACCAGGCTATATGAGATAATAGAAGCAAAGATTACTTTTTCAAAAACACGGATGTCACTCCCAAAAGTTGGTAAATGAATAATAAGTAAAATAATATAAATAATATAAATGACAGATATTACAATAACATAAAGAGTGAAAAAAGAAAGGAAAAAGAAACACAAATAACAACAAATGCAACAATAGTATCATTAATAACAAAATTAATAACAACGGCAATTATGACAATTATGATTATAGAACTGAAATATCTATAATACTAATACTACAAACAATAAATACAATCACAATCCTATAACTTGATGAGCAGTACTGTAACTGTAATGATAACAGTAATAATAACATTAACTGCAATAACAACACTTTCAATACCATAAACACCCTACCTGAAGTGTATTAATATCCCATTCATGCTGAAGTTTGAGCAGCCTCTCGACCAACTGAGCAACACGATGCGTCACACCTGATAATACCACTACTTGACTGCCCAAGTCCACAAGTGAGGTCAGGCTGAACACCAGGTACATTGAGACGAAGGCGTACTGTCATTTGGAAAAAAGAAGCTTGGGGTTGGCATTTGTGAATAGCTTTGTGATCAATTTTTTCTTGCAATGAGGTTAATTATACGCAGTTCATATTAATGTACATGGCTTTTAGTAAAGGCAAGCACCAATAAATGAAAAAACAAAAAATATTATATAAAGTTGAGGAAAATGAATTAACACAAAATATATCCAGTAACCTAATCTTATCAACATTATCAAGAATATAAACAAAGACTCCATTACGTGACTCCTCAGACTTACGGCACTAACGACGGATGAAATATCTTCGTCTTCACCAAATTTCCCACTAAAAATGGGGATTGAAATGGCCAGATAGGAAATGATGGAACCAAAGTAGTCAAACATATATCTTGTGAAGTTCAAAATTATCTGAAATTATAAAATTTGCATTTGTATATTGCAACACCAATCCTTATGATCTTTCAACCTGATTTTCTAACGAGAAGAAGATGAAAAAATTCAGTTTCATATATACTATTCAGTTTGACTTTTCAGACTTCACA